GGTGCGAGAGGGGCGGCAGCACTCACAGGCAGCCGCGACCCGGCCGCTGACCTGCGGATGTTCATGGGCGACACGCTCTCCCAGGCTCCGGCCTTGGGGCTGTATCTCTCCACCGAGTTGAGGCAGCTGGTGCCGTCGTTGCCCCCGGCCACGTACAGGGCTCCCTCCAGCACTGCCACGCCCGCTGAGCTGCGGCGGCTCAGCATGGAGGCCACGGGCGTCCATGCGTTCACCTGAAGGCGACGGGAGGGCTGGAGGCAGACCCATCACGGCACCCCGCCCCTGCCAGAGCCTGGACTCCAGGACGGGGTGCCCGGAGCAGGGTGAGACACGGAGGGCTGACCCTCAGAGGACACGGGTGCCCAGGGGGTGGGACAGCCCTAGCAGGCCTGGGAAGGGGTGGCCGTGAGGGGTGCGTTATGCACCTGGGGCTCGTACTTCTCCACGGTGGCCAGGTGTGAGGAGCTGTCGTAACCACCCACGGCGTACAGGTTTCCATCTGCAGGAAGACAACACACTCATGGGGCTCCCGCTGGTGCTGGGCTTCCAGGGCGGGGACGGGTGGGGCACGGAGGCAGGTCCTGTCACCCACCGAGTGTGGCCACACGCACGTAGCGCCTCCGGGTGCTCATGGCAGCGACAGACGTCCACGTTCCCATCAGGGGGTCATAGCGCTCCGCACTGTGGGCACCAGGACTGCACTGACCCTCCGCAAAGGCAGAAAGGCTGACCTGGCCCAGGACCCGCCAGGCTCATGGACTGACTGGACTCTTTTGCTGGGCAGTCACCGGGGTAGATGAGGGCCCGCTGGTAGGCATGGCTACTGGCTACCCCGACGATTCTAGGGGAATGTGCCCCTGGCCTGAGCCCCTGGACCGGTGTGGAGGACGCCGGAGAGGAGGAGGGCGCTGGGTCAGGATGGCCAGGAGCCTGGGCCGAGGGCTGCTGCGGCCTTGGGGGCAGAGGCCTTGGGGAGCCCCCCCCATGCCTGAGCCAGACAGGAGCTCTGTGGTAGTGACACAGCCTCACCTCTGGCGGTTGAGCCCCGTGTGGCCACTGGGGCCCCAGCTCCGACTACTACCTGTTGAGGCAGGATGCCCCATCATAGCCACCGGCCGCGTACAGGAGCCCGTGCAGGGCAGCCACACCCAAACAGCTTCGTCTTGTGCCCATGGACACCTCGGGCTGCCACGTGTTGGTCACGGGGTCGTAGGACTCCACGGTAGCCAGGTCCGAGGTTCCATCGTAGCTAGAGAAGGAGCCCACCGCTGGCCAAGACTAGCGAGGTGGACGTGCCAGACCCCTGACCCAAGACGGCTTCTGCGCTTACCCGCCCACAGCGTACAGTCGATTCCCAACAGCCGCCACTCCTACCCGGGCCCGGCGTGTGGACATGGAGGCCACCACGTGCCAGCGGTCGGTGCGTGTGTCATAGGCTTCACAGTCCCCGTGGATGGCAAACAAGCTCCCCCCACCTGGAGAGGGAGGCGGGCAGATAGAGTCGGGAATGTGGGCGGGAGCCACACTGCTGGCCGTGCTCTGCGGATCCTTGAGGGACCTCTAGACAGAGGAAAGAGCGGCAGGGAACGGCCGGCCTGCAGAGTGGGGTGGGCATTCAATGGCAGACCAGCAGGGGCGTGGCAGGGAGGGGACGGGCAGCCGTACCCACAGCAAAGAGCACAGGGCCGGCCCCCTCACAGCGCCGGGGCCGCGTGCGGTTGGTGCCCAGAACTCCCCTCTGCTCGGGCAGCAGGTGGAACTTGAGGGCCTCGATGAGCAAGTCCTTGCAGTCTGGATGGTGCCGCACCAGGCTTTCGGCGTCCACGTGGCCCAGCAGGAAGTCGCGGCTCAGCAAGGGCAGCCGCACACACTTCATGAGCTGGGGTGCAGGGGGTGCCAAGATCAGGCAGGATCCTTGGACACGCCTGGCCCCGGGCTGAGACCCTTCCCTGCCAGATGCCCATACCGCGCCCACGGAGCCCCTGAATGCCAGAGAAGCCAGGGCACACCAGGCCCCAGCCACCTGCAACCGCCTCCAGACAGCAAGGGGGTCCCTGGGACCCGGCCTCACCCGTGGGACGTGCTGCCGACGGGTGTCCACGTCGTGTTTGACCCAGCTCAGGACGGCACGGTACACGTCCTCCTCTGAAGGCACGTTCAGGCTGTCACTAGAGACCAGTTCCAGCACCTGGGGATGGGGGCCTCCGACCTGAGCTCGGGGGAGGGTCCTGTGGGCCCCAGGAGCCCAGAAGGTGCCTAGGAGGGAGGGCCCGGCCAGAGGACTCAGTGTTCCCACAGGAGGGCCCAAGCAGGGCCAGGAGCCACAGGTCTGGCTTCTGGGTGCCTAGAGCCACCTGGCCTCGGGCATGTGAATCGGGGACTGGGGCTACGGGCAAGGGTTCTCGAGGGGCAGAAGGGGATCAGAAATCAGAAGTCAGGGCTTGGGTGGAGTCAGAAGACGAGGGCAGGGCTGGAGAGAGAGCCAGAGGATGGAGGTGGGGCCAGAACACGGGTCCAGGCTGGGATGGGGGTGGGGCCCGGGGTCTGAGGCCAAAGCGTTACCTGTTTCAGTGGCAGCAGCATGAACTCCTCAGTCTTGGCCACGTCCACGAAGTGCTGCAGCACGTACCTGTGGGCTGCTTTGAGCAGGTCGCTGCAGGAGTGCGTGTCGGCAAAGCCTCGAATGCCCAGGCAGTTGGAGGGGTCGAGCTGGCTCAGCAAGAACTTGCAGCAGGCATCGCGGACGCCGTTCAGCTGCAGGAGGCTGGCGGCTGGGAGCAGGGTCTGGGGGGCACAGAGACAAGGGCGAGGCAGCAGCCGGCCAGGGAGGCAGGGAAGAGGCTCAGGCCCCCGGAGGCCAGGGGAGGCCTGGGGGGCGTGGGGGGAGCGGCAGTGTCACCTGCACGTTGGCCTCCCCCACCACGATCTCTGCCGTGTAGGCGAACTGCACCAACTGGTCCAGGGCCTGGGGGTCGATGTCGTGCAGCGTCACGTGGGTCTGGCGGCTCTCGGTCATCTCATCTGCGAGGACGGCGCGTCAGGGGGCCGGCCCAGGACACCCCAGGGCCCCGGGGCTGCCCAGACCCCGCGGGTGGTACTTGCTCGTGAACATGGCGTGGAAGTAGGGGCTGCAGGAGGCCAGCACCACCTTGTGCGCGCGAATCTCCTTGGCGGCCACGTGCAGGACGATGTCACACAGGAGGCCTCGCTGCCGCATGCGGCTCATGGCCACGAAGGCGTCGTGGTAGTGGCGCTTGGCGTTGTGAGCCACGCTGTGGCCCTCCCGGCCCAGCAGCTGCAGGGCGCCCTCCATGGGGGCCGAGGGCCGG